TCTCTCTCTCTCTCTCTCTCTCTCTCTCTCTCTCTCTCTCTCTCAAATTTGTCATCCCCCATCCCATTAAAAAGTGACTCTGGGTGGTTTACAAATTTATATATTTGATTATCATGCACAAGAACAATCTCTATGGTGGACATTAAGATACCTGCCAAGGTTGTAGACTTAGAGCTTTCAACCTTTCTCCACTCATCTTTATTTTCCTCTTGGATCTAGATGAATAAGCAGCATTTAAGGCCCGTGCCACAGCCCAGACAGAGTTGTAAATGAAGTATTTATCTAGAGATAAAATCATTTCCACCTTGTCTTGGGGCAGAATCTTTACTTCCTGTTTCTCTTGGCATCTTCTCCAGCTTTTCACAGCCAAGTCATGCCTTGTAGGAAAACAGTGGAAAGCTTTGTGTTTAAACTCCTGCATGAAATCATAGAAAGTTTTAAAATTGCTGATTTTTTTCTTTTTTTTGGTATGGATGAAGAAGGAGAAAAGACTATGGATGTTTTGAAAAGACAATTTATGATTGATTAGTTGCATCGTGAAATCCCACAGAGCTGTGGTGATCCAGATTTTCCCCACAATGGGTTTTATCAAGCTCTTAATTACTTCTTGTATAACAGCTATTCCTTCTAGGAAGGCACTACCTTCTGCGCAGTAAACAAAGACATTGACTTGCCCCCATGTGTAGAAAAAAGCAGAAAAGACCTTCTCATTGTTGTGAGCCACTGAGATGGTTTTTGATAAAATGACACAAATCCCATTCTTCAAGAGTAGAGGAGTCAACGTCCTCAGGAACTGTTCTCCATTGTCAGTGTCTGAAGCAAAGAGACCAACAAAGGTCCACTCAAAGTGCAAAAGCAATTTGACAATTCCTGGGTACTGTGTTCCTTCTGTGGGGAGCATCCGATAGAAAAAAGGGAAATGAGTTTTATCACTCAGAACCTGGGAAACAAAAGTATAACTGATCTGAAAAGGGAATAAAGATGTTAATGTTTTCTTTCAGGTCTGATCAAAGCCAAAATATTAGCTATACACCGAATAGAGAAACCCGATTGGTCCTTATCATGGATGGGATTCTCATTTTTTGCAAGAAGACCCACTGCTGGGACTCTGTTCAGACATTGCTGATCATCATCGTCATCATCGTCATCATCATCATCATCATCATCATCACCACCACCACCATTTGTTAAACTTGTATCCCACCTGACTCTCAACAATTCTGGACAGCTTACAAATATCAAACAAAGAAATTACAATTAAATATATAAAACATACAAAATAAAGGTAAAGGATGGCAAGCCTCTTTTAATATATTTTATAAATAATATTTAATAGCCTCTTAAGTGAAAGCCATTATATCAGGATTGCCAAAATAGAATCTGCCTCTCTGGTTTGGACATCTAGGGAAGGCCCATTGAACCTAATGGGTGTAAGTGGATATGAATGCTTAACCCTAAGCTACAAGCTGATTCATCTACTACAGTATGAAGATATCTGCCATTTCTCTGGAGGAACGTTCTTGAAAATCTTTGAAGGAAAACCCAGGCTAAAATGAGTCTGCAAAGTAGCCAGTTGCAGGGGTCTACACTTTCATAAACTTACCTGTGGGATTTTGTAGATGGCTGCCATTGTTGAAATTTGTATGGAGATGTCAGAGTCAGCTGCTTCCAGGAGAACCCAGAGGTCTTTCTGCCTTCCACAGCTATAGTTTGGAATGCTAGCCTCCCCAATAGAGAACAGGTCCACCAATGCATCTGAAGTCATTCTGGTATTAAAATAGTTGTTGTGGAGGTTGTAGCTCAGGGTGATGTTGGATAAGAGTTTGGGATCCTGGTTGATCTCCTGGATGGCAAAAAGGAAGGACAGAATTTTCCAGTAATACGGGGATCCTTTCCTGCAAATACATGTGCACCACATTACCATTCATGGAAATGGCTTGTTAGTTAAATAAGGCTGGGCATGTTTCAGAAATGAGTTGGAAGAATTGATTTGGACTGTGCAGGAGCACTGCACCTTCCCACTAGTCATTAAAGCAGCCCAACCTTTATCCAGACTTCTATGGGTGCCTGGGGAGAAATGCAATGGCCATTGCTGTGAAAGATCCACTCTGGAGTCCTTGGGGTTCTCTGAGCTTGGTTCTTTTCTTGCAACAAAAGAACCAAGCTCAGAGAACCCCAAGGACTCCACAGTTCAACCCTGAGCTACACATATGCACCTCTAAAGCTCCACTCATTAGTGATACAATGCCTTTTAAAGAAGCTGCCTCACTTTTCACAGTTACCCAGAGACCTGGAAAAAAATGGGCTGTGGCTTTTACAAATCACAGAGAGGGATGCCCCAGTCTTGAGGAAGTCTAGAAGGACTTGTTCTAAACCATTGTTGGAACATGCTGTGCTGTTAGCCATTCATAAGGCTTTAAAGACCTGGCTGTTCCCTTCTTGGCAGCAGATGTGAGAGAGATGGATGAACCCAGAAGAGTTTGGGGTATTTGTGAGGAATTGAGTCTTAATAAAGAGATGCAGCCTTAGCCAAACAGTTTTCATGATCAGGAAGTAAAGGTGGTCAATACAGCACAGAATAGATAAGCAAATGGTCGCTCTGCGTATGTGGGCGCAAGGGTGCAGTTTGGGTGCAGTGAAACCTGCACACTGCAGTGTGAAATAGCTACTAGAGATAACGGAACAAGCCCAGTTGTAAGTTGCTAGGGAAATACCACTATTACGATATGGACTTGCACAGGTAAACTTTGGGAGAATTTTCCACTTGCTTGGAAATGTGCAAATGCCTGGATGTGGATCAGCCAACACAATGGCACCGTTTGGAATGCCTTGCGACTTGACCGTTTAAATTTGCTTGTAGGTGGATTCTTTCACCTGGGAATGTTACTTAAGGTGTCTTTGTGTTTCTGATCAAGGCTCTGTAAGAAAGTTTTGGAGACTTTTAATCCATGTCTTTACTGAGTAGAGGAATGGCTCCAAACCTCTACTCCAAACCTCTACCTCCAAAGGAACTTTACCAGCACCAGCATTCCCTGGAGTCTTTTCTCAGAGACTAAAAGGACAGCAGGTTACCCAAATTATTCAAGAAAAGTCAAGAAGAAGGGGAAGATCAAGAAAGTCATGGATGGATGGAGTTGATGAGAATGTCAGAAGGACAGAGGTGAGCAGTTTGAAGAACCAAAGGCAATGTATGAGGCCACCTAGGAATGAGGAGGAAGCAAGGATGATACCTAAGAATAGAAAGGTATGGAGAAGTATAGTGAATGATGTTGGGATAAACTGATGATGATTATGATTAGATGCCAACAATACGTTGTCAACTCTTAGTGACCACATAGATACATTTTCTCCATGATGATCTGTCCCTAACCTGGTCCTTCAGGTCTTTCAACAGTGCACTCATCGCTACTGTAACTGAGTCTATTCACCTTGCTGCTGGCCATCTCTTCTCCTCTTTCCTTCCACCTTTCCGAGCATTAGAACCTCCTCCAGAGAGTTGGGATAAACTAGATTCATTTATATTTCCTTTCCTTTTTCCCTCTTATTTCCTGACTTGACTTTCTTTGGCTTAGTATATTTTTCTTCTTGCCTGCACTCTCCATAACATTTCCTGAAAGGGAACAGCATGATGGATCTGACCAAGGAAAAAAACCCCCTAGTAATTAGAGGATGTTAGGAAGGGCTCCTGCCTATTGGAGAAACCTGAGCTAAACAAATGAATACTTTTATTCCACAAATTCCCCCTTGATATAAAAACCAGCTAATCCATGTGGTGGTATGAATATTTGCATATGTCATCTAGGCTTGCAACCTAACCATGGAATAAACTTGACCTGGCATCAATTCTTCTCTTCTTCCCAGTTTCATTCACACAACACAACTTACCATAAAATGTTAGCAGACGGAGGCCTTCTGAAGCTGCCTAGTAGAAACCGGGCAGGGAATATAGAGACAAGTCCACCGATGAGATGGTCCCCTGGCTTGTAATAATTCCCTTCATTGAGTTCATCCTGCTCCAGAGTCAGGGGGCACTTGGGGTTAAGCACCCCATTGGCAATATGAGACTGCAGCAGAAGCAGAAGTAGAAACAAAAGAAGCATTCCTTGAGCAACCAAGTCCATCTCCTGTCTTGCAACAGCCTAAAGAATTGGGAGAAGAAACCTAGGCTCTTTCACCATGCTAAAGTTTTGGTGGATGGTCTAATTCAGAACAGGGTTCAGCCCGAGCTTCACAACTGTAGTGGATGAGCTTAAGATCTGTGTCCTTTACCTGCCATCTCTAAAATTCCTGCTGGGATCTCTGGGCACTTGGAAACAGTTGTGAGACCAGTCTTTCTAATGCAAGCCATTGCCTCATGTTGCTCTTGAACCTGTTTATGAGTCATTAGAAAGTTTTGGGAAAAAATCCATAGAGATTTGGCTGAAAGCTAAAACATCACTATAATTTTGATAATTATAAGAAGGAGCATCCTCTTTGCAACAACCTGAATTCTGTGTGACTCCACAAAGCTGAACAATGCACAGAGGTAGATCCATAGTTCCTCTGGATCACCTCTGAGGGCCTTTCCCCACTATTAATGGAAGTGCTCTTGACCCACTTTTGAGACGGCAGAAAACAAGAAATCTGCTGGGATTTGCCTCATGCCTTGCTGACCTTCGTTACCAGCTTCTGAAGTCCCTTGTCTTTCCCCCAGAGCAACTGGTAATTATGTGTTGGGGAACTTTTTGAGTTTGGTTAAACCAGAGGCCGGCACACTTTCATGGAAGCACAAATTGGATCATTGTTTGATACAGGAGGCAAATACAAGCCTAAAATGGGTAGAAATGCCCTGGTCTATATAGACTTATTCAAATTACATTATACATCTTATCAGTATATCAAACATTTGTCATTTTGAAGAAATCTTGGCTTCCTGTAGAACTCCTGGTTTATTTCTTTTTCTGCTTTGGGGTTAGGAGCAAACCATTTAGAAAGACAAATTGCATTTGGTTGAATGAGTATTGCTGATTAGATTTCATTTGCAACAGGGATTTAGGACAGGAAAGGCAAACGAGCTGCAAAATCATGTCAAACTAGGGAACTTTGCATATGTATGTTTTAAAAAACTAATTGGGAACAGCTTCTCTAGAACAGCCCCTGCAGTCCACATCACTCTAGAGGGGGTTCGTGTCCTGCAAGAGAACCAGGCCAAGTGCTGCAACAGCGGCTCAACTGGCCACAAAGCTTAGCAGCTGTTTTGGCTGATTCCTTTGCTTTACTCTCAGGACTGTGGACTCAGAATGGCCTGGAATTGCTTTGGAGCTTTAGATCGCACCCATGGATCCAGAAGAACGAAGAGAGACGAAGCGGGTGAAGAGACACCTAGAGCGCTGCTGGTGGATGGGAAGGAGCGAAGCAGACTGAACATGGGTTAGAGCTGTTGTTAGAACCTACCTTGTGGTGATAAGGGTGGTGAAATGTAATTATTTCTCCACCTTATTGAATCCACAGAGAGCCACCCAGCAGTCCTATTTCAGGTGTCAGAAAACGACAGACACGGGTTCGGTTGTCCAGTAGACAGAAGTTTTTATTGGGCACGTTTGCAAAGGTGGGTCAATGGAGGAACCCCGAAGCAAGGTCTGACAGGTTTTTATACCCCCTATCTG